CCAGAAAGACAGAGACAGAAAGTGAGAAATCATGCCCTGGGGGAATGGCCATGCCACAATCCCGTCTCCTCAATTCTCCTCTCGGGATCTTGGGCACACACACATGCTCCCGGGGAGAGTTTAAGCCATCGGGTCCGGAACTCGAACTGAGGTCAACTACATGGGAGTCCAGTGACATAGCCATTATGCTAACTGCTAGACCCAATGAAATAATCCTTAAAAAAAATTACTTACTTAAAAAAAAAAACTGCATATATGTATAAAGAATATCCAATTGTGAAGATTTCAGCTGAATGAAAGGGGTTTAAGGGAACAAATGTTCCAGAAAACATGAATAAATTTGTTCCTCAACATTTTAGTGGAAAATATCAAAATATTAAAACAAGTGAGATTTTCTAGATTTTTCTTCCCTTAAAACCAAAAAAATTTAAATTTTTGGATGATTAATGGCTTTTGGAAATAAAACAAATCAGGAAAACTATAAAACCTATACTCTATCAGAAATATATCCTTTCCTGTCACTAAAATGTTTTCGTTTAGCTGGATGTGGTAGTGCACACCTGTAATCCCAGCTCCTAGGGAGGCTGAAGCAGAAGGATTGCAAGTTCGGGGCCAGCCTCGGCCACAAAGAGAAATCCCATCTCCTAAAACCATGTAATATAAAATTCAAGAATTGCAAGTATGTAAAAACATAAACCTTTTTTGATTTTAAAAAATAAAAATAAACCGCAAGAATCTTTATTCTGCAGATAGAAAAAATGGGATACTTCTGTTAGCTGCCAAAGGGTACTTGTGAACTATGGGAAATATACTATTAGGGAAGGTTTCCAAGAGCTGCTAAAAGAATCTGCTAGGGTATTTTTCATTAGAATTATTTTTCAAGCTAATGAAACCATTCCAAACAATGAAGCAAAGGTGGGTGGGTAATCTGCCACTCTGTACCTTCAGACTGCAAGAATTCTGGGAAGATAATTTTTTTTAAAAAGGCACAACATGGGACCAGCAGTTAGTGTAATGGCTATGTCGCTGGACTCCCATGTAGCCGACCACAGTTCGAGTCCTGGACCCAATGGCTTAAACTCATGCCGGGCACATGGCTGTGCATACCCGAGATCCTGAGAGGAGAAGGGATTGCAGTGTGGCCATCCCCCCTCGGGGGTGATTTCTTGCTTTCTGTCTGTCTCTGTCTTTTCTCTGGCAAGTACACATGCCCTATAAGAAAAACCTCTCAAAAAAAAAAAAAAAAAAAAAGGCACAACATGATATAAAAAGCTTCTACTTTGGGAGCACAAAGACATTACAGAGATGCACCTGTTAGAAGTGTAACAATTTATAAAAAAGGGAAATATTTCAAAGTACAAGTGAGAATTAGTATAAATGTATAGCATGAAACAAACCACACACATACATAAAAATAAAAGATTTCCTGGAAATCAACACTTAAAAATGACAGATTACCTGGATCACAAAATACAAAACAAAAATTTGAGGCAATCAAACCAATCAGCATGTCAAAATCTGCAGGTGTGTGTAAAATCTCAGAAGGGTCACGCTTTTCTTTCATAATATCCATCACATGCTTTAAAAGCTTTCTACTGACCTAACAATGATTATGCTTGCTCTTTAAAGACTCTAACAGCTGGTGAGGGGGCAGTGGGTGGCATGGCGGTTGGGGCACTGTACTCTCACATGGCCAATCAACCACGGTTCAAGTCTCGGACCTGGTGGCTTGCTCCCTTACTCTCTACTCAGTATATGTGCCCTATGACCAACTCAAAAGTAAATAATTCTTTTTAAAAAAGGAAAAAAAAAAAAAAAGAAAGACTCTAACAGTCACAAACCCAGGATAGGACCAAGGAATGGACGTCCTGCCTTCATAATCACTTCACTTTCCTAGAAGTCACAGTACTTCCTAAGGAACATGAGGACAGACTATGCTGAATGATCTCTGAGGACGTTAAAACTGGATTTTTGACACAATTAGTGAATTTTGTAAGAACAGACACAGTTGCAGGGCTATATTTTATGGCCACATCTGGCTAGGGTATTAACAATGGGAACTGCACATACGGTCTCTTGGTACTTAACTGAGAGCTAAGGGCCAGCCATGACACAGCAGTTTCTAGACAACCCACCTGGGATGGTCCCAGGTTCCCGTCCTAGAGACTACTCCCTGCACACGCTGGGCACACGTGTGCAAGTTCATGACCCAGGCTGCCTGAAGCCAGTGGTAGATCATGACAATTAAGACCCTGTTGGGAATGCCCGTCTCTGTCTCAACAAACAAAAACCTTAAAAGACAAAAACACTAGTAAGAGATGAAGAACTTTAGTTCAGATTTTTAGTCATAAAGCTGATAGTTTTTACACATTACTGATACACTGTGGCAATTTCCAATGTCATCATTTGTCCTCACCTCATTATGGTATTTAAAGGTATGGAAGACTTACGCAGTTCCATAACTTCACTCTTTAAACAAGATTCCACATATGGGACAAGAATTATGCAACCTAAGCCCGGACTGTCTTGTTATGCCTGAAAACAAGGACTAATGGGGAATGTCAGATGGCATTGGAGCCACTATGAAAAGTTCCCACTGGCCAAAGGTGAAATAATTTGAACACAACAAGGAATAATGAGTAAACAAATTAAAACACAAATGTGTGTGTGTGTGTGTGTGTGTGTGTGTGTATGTATGTATGTATATATATATATATATATATATGTATTCATTCCATGGATTTGTTTTAAAAAAATCACTTATCAATCAATTCTGGAGGTTTTAAGGAAATCAACACTTAAAATAGATAGTCAAAGTGTGAAAAAGCAAGCATTTATCTTTCACTGTGAATTAAGTAAAAAAAAAAAAAAACACCATAAAACACAACACACAATATGAAATATAGAATACAAAACAATCAAAGTAAAATATAAAGCAAAATAATAGGTATATATGTTAAAAATATATGGACACACATGTAGAAAGAGGGAATTAGAAGGACGACAAAGTTAACTTGGTAGGGAGTTTGGGACAGGGGTGGACAGAATGACATTTTCACATTCAGTCAGTACACTATTGTTTGAACCTTGGGTAATTAGACTATATTCATTTTTCTTCTTTAATAATAAAGAGGAGAAAGCAGTTAGTATGAGAAGAATTATCAATGGCTACATGTACTTGAAATTACATAAATAAATTTTGAGATAGAATAAAGGCTAAGGTTATACATTTTGTTAAAAAAAACAAAACCAAAAAATTTCACTGCAAAATTACAAATGTCAAGCTTTATAGAAATAAAAACTAAACTTTGTATATGTGAAGAAGAAACTGTTGAAGAAACTTAAGAAAATGTTAAGGAAGTGACAATATTGTCATTTAGAAATAATAGGATATTTTTCATGTAGATGAGGAGTTTTTTCTGTCACATAATATTTTCTGTAGGTCGTCCTAGAAGCAAATTGTGTTAGACTGTCATAATGAATGCTCAAATGTAGTGGAAAGGATAGAACTAAACTTTCAATTATGACAGATTTTTCTGAGAGGTTATGTATGAACATTATATTACACTGAATTAGTAAAAACTGAAAGTAGATTTTAGAAGAGCTAGGATTTAAAGGTATGGAAGACTCACACAGTTCCACAGTTTCACCGAGCTTACATGTTTTTGTTTTGTGCATGTTTCTGTAAGATGCTGAAGTTCACAACAAAATGAAGTGCATACGGATGTGTGAGAGGCATTGTTTTAAAACAAACAAAGAACGAGTAATTAGAAATGGAAAATTATTGACGATAACATGCATGATTAAGCCACTATGAAGTATATTCTGGATGGGAAATCACATTTTGCATGCTGTGACAATGCTTAGGGAATGAATGTAAACTAATTAAAAAAAAAGTTTCAGGAAAAAAAAATAAAACAAAGAATGAAACAAAAAGAAGGTTGCTTTCTAATAAATACCCCCAAATAACTATTCCAACCCCTTTAGATGACTAAAATCACACAACGAAGAACAGGTCAAACAAATCTTTTTTTTTCCCAGAAATCTACAATGTAAAATATAGATCTGTCAAGTGTAATGGGACCACATCTTTACCTATCATTCCATACCACATGTTTCTCTTCAAACAAATCCAGTCCACGACATGATAGGTAGTGATTCAAAATGCAGGGGGGAGAGGGTCAAAAAAGGAAGGCTTGTATTTTCTTCATAAAGGAAAGGATCAGGGTTATTGCAACCAGATTATCTACTTACAGCACTAGAGAGGGAGGATGTACGCAAAAGGGGTTAAAACATACACTTCCGCTAAGGATTCCACTGGCTTCCCGCCTTACAAGAGCTCACCCACACCCTGTGGGGTTCCTCAGCCCATGAGCTCAATACTGAGCAAGAGAAATTACAGGCAGGAGACTAATAGAGCAGAGAGAAGGGATCAGGAAGAAATTGGTACTAATAGGAACTGTTTATCTCTAAAGATGAACCTATAAGATCTCTCTCTGTTCCTTTAAAAGATAAATAGCAAAAAGTTCATCTGAAGTGGAATATGACGTTTGTTAGGCTGACAAACTCACCCTTCACTGGGCTCCCATTGTCCACGAACATTCTTTTTTTTGGGGTGGGGAGAGAGGTTTTCGCTATAGGGTGCGTGCGCTTGCCAGACAGACAGAGAGACAGACAGAGAGATAGAAAGCGAGAAATCACCCCCCAGGGGGGATGGCCACGCCTCAATCCCTTCTCCTCCAGTCTCCTCTTGGGATCTTGGGCACGCATGCACACGTGCCCGGCGTGAGTTTTAAGCCACCAGATCTGGGACGCGAATCGCGGTCGACAATATGGGAGTCCAGTGACATAGCCATTATGCTAACTGCTGGTCCCCTGTCCACGAGCATTCTTAATGGCTGTTCTTATGTTCTGTGTTACAAATCTTGGTTTGGGTCCCCTCTTTCAGTATCGTATCTGCAGTGCTTACCATAATAGCTAGAAGCCTAAAGGCTTCATGGTGTTTTTGAAGAAATCTTTACATGGCCTCCTGTGAAGACTACTTTAAGTGCTAAGACACATTTGGATATATTTAGTATTTTTTGAAGTTTGCATAAAACAGAGAGTCGAAGCATGAAATAAGGGAGAAGTCAACACTCAAATGCAGGTTAAAATCCACAATTTAAAGACTGACTGCTAAAAACCTAAGGCTTTTAACTTTATGGATCCGGTACCAACCTCAGCACTGCATGCGAGAGAATTTCATCATTTGAGTCAGTTTTAAGAATTACACTGTGAAGATGTACTTCAATGCAACCAAAATTGGAATATAAGTTCTAAAGTAAGTCTTATTTTACTCATGCCATATCAAGATTTAAGATAAAGCTTCTAATGATAATAAATACAAGTCTAAAAAGATAAATTAATCTCTGCTGTCCATGTTCGGTGAAGTAAAATTTACCACTACAAAAAGAACATGCACCTCGATTAAATATCTCTGAAGCAAAAAGGGAAAGGTCTTATCTATTTCTAAGTGTTGCTCCCCTCTATCCGAGTACCCTAAAAGAGACTGTAAAACTCCCAAACATGTACACTAGAATAAGTGTACAAAAGCATTGTTTAATAATAGAGGCCAAAAGTTTCAGAAATATCAATCACTTTTGACCTAATTTAATACAAATGCTAGGAATTCTGCCTAAGAAAAAATTAAGAGCTGAACACAGATGAAGGCACAAAGATGAACAACGTAATGTTTTGTAATGAGAAAAGTTGAAATATATTCACATACACAGCAACAGGGGGTCGGCTGAATAAATTCTAGTACATCCTTTTAATATATTAGTCATTTATAGGTGATTAATGTAAAACAAAATTGTATTGTGTAATCAGGTAAAAAATATAATATAATCACTATTTTTTTTTTAAAAGGCTTTTGCCATAGGGCAAAAGGCCTATGCACTTGCCAGAGAGAGTCAGTGAGAGGGAAAGTGAGAATTCATACCCCAGTGGGGAATGATCAAACTGTAATCCCTTCTCCTCCATTCTCCTCCTGGGATTTTGGGCACGCAGGCACATGCACACAGTGTGATTTTCAAGTTTGGGGCTTGAAGGTGGTTGGCCACGTGGGAGTCCAGTGCCAAGACCACTACGCCACCTACTGGCCCTAACATGATCTAATAAAAGAAAAATGTTTAACAATGAATTTGTATATAGATATGTATCTTTCTGCAAAACGATTTATACACTTAAATATGTTGATACTACTGTTTACAGAAGTAACTGATAAATTTAAGGATTTAAACAAAACAAAACAAAATAGCCCTTAAAAGTTCTTTTAAATTTTGTGGTTTTGATGATTTTCTTGCCTTCTCATCATTGCAGCAAGAATATCAGAAATTATGAAGATGGTATAGTGTCCAGTGATACAACGTAACACTCTGTGCTAAAACTCAACCTTGCCTCTACCTGAGCCTCTGTTTAAAATTCCTTATTTAAGAACTCCAGGAGCTACCCCAAAGCCTAATATTCCTTTGCCCCCAACTTCAACAGATTAAAAATTAGGTCATCGGGAAAGTCATGATGCATTTTTGCATAGAAAACCTTTTCTACACGTCACGACTTTTTCCAATAGGTGAAAACATGAGGGAAGCCCAATCACTTACTGTATAGCTTTAGCAGACTGTAGTACATCTGGTCTCTATCACATTCGAATAGCTTCTGGGTCAGTTCTACCAATTTCTCCAGAGTTTCAACCTTAAGAATAAGATTAATAGATGGATCTACATTATGTAAAGGATATATTTCATAGCTGATAAATAGCAGTTGAATAATACTTCAAATTAGCTTCACCTAAAGGGCTGATTAACCTCACTTCAAAAGTTAAAGGGCTGAGCACAATAATGTGAATGGACTAATGTCACTGAACTATACTTAAAAAAAAATAGGTTACAATGATAAATTTTATGTTATATCTATTGTGCCACAATTAAAATATTTTTATAATTATTATTTTTTTAAGTTAAAGGGCTAAAGAACCCTTTGGATTCAGGAACACAACATGAATATGGTTGTGCTTCCAGTTGAGAGAAGCTCAATGAAGATGCATTTTGGATAATTCAAAGATATTTAGGGCAGAGAACAGGGTGGGAAGAACTCCGTGAGCCTGTTATTACATCAACAAAAATACCCCCCGCTCAAACAGCACACTCCTCTTCCCAGTGGCTTTTACTTGACCTGATGAGATGAGATCCTTGCACTGGAAGGAGAGCAGAGATTCCACGGGGCTATCTCAAGCAACTCCTCTAGTCACTGAGGACTGATGGGGGCTTACATTGTCAAGAAGACAAGGTCTGCCTGCTCAAACCAACAGCTATATAAATAAAGCACATTAACATCTTTAGGGCCCAGGGTTAACAGTTTTAGGGATTTGGCTAAGCCACAGCTTATCCAAAAAACCACCAAGGTAACATGGCCTCCACAACGCTCTCATCACCTGAAATCCCCAAATGTTCACACGATATACAGAACACTTGGCACCTCACTCACAGCTCCCGGGGCTCAAGACATCAGAAATTAACACAAACCTGATTACTCGTAATACATCTATCACAAAACCACTGAAGTCTAGAAGGTCGAGCTCTGATGCCGGGAGTCTGAAAAATAAAATAATCACTCAGCATACAAGGTAAGGTTTTAGCAAAACAATAGTTTCTTTTTTCTTAAAGACAACCTGTATTCCTTCTAATGATGTGCTACCAAATATATATATATTATCAATACAAGGAATCTATAGCTTAATTCCACAGTTATAGAAATCCTTTTTAATTAGGATCAGAACAGAGAATAAATTAAAACCTCTACGTCATCTATGTCTAGAAGACTCTAGTTATGCTGCTTGCAGGTCAATGTTCACTCCATAAATCTTTAATTAAACGGTTACATTTTCCTTAGTTTAAAGAGATGAACTAAATCAAGTCCAAAATATGGCAAATTAAGCATCACTCTTTATTTTGCTCCCTCCATCTCTGTCTCACAAGCACATCCAACACACACTCACATGCACACTTCAGAGAATCCAACATTCAAGAGTCAAAAATCACCAATGTTACACAGAATTGTTAATGACTGTCACAATACAAACCAGTGACTTTTGTTTTTATATATGTATATTTTGTTCTTTTCTTTTTTTTTTTTTTTGAGAGGTTTTTGTTATAGGGCGTGTGCGCTCGCCAGAAAGACAGAGAGACAGAGAGACAGAAAGTGAGAAATCACCCCCCAGGGGGGATGGCCACGCCACAATCCCTTCTCCTCCATTCTCCTCTTGGGATCTTGGCCACGCATGCACCCTCGCCCGGTGTGAGTTTAAGCCACTGGGTCCGGGACTCGATCTGCAGTCGACTAGATGGGAGTCCAGTGACATAGGCATCACACCAACTGCTGGTCCCTGTTTTTATATTTTTAAAGAATTATTTTAACTTTATTTATTATTATTATTTTCTAGTTTGATCAGACAGAGAGAGAAAGAAAATGAGAAAGCAAGCCACCAGGTTCAGGACTTGAACTGAGTCAGCTGTGGGAGCCCAGTGCCTTTAACCACCATGCCACCTGCTGTCCCCACTTTTGTTTTTAAAGAAAAGTTTTGCAAAATTCACGGTGATAAAAGTACTCTCATGAGTACCACAAATGCCTGCCTGGCATCTAAAACTAAATGTTTCAAGAATAAAAACAAGCTAAGCACTTAAAATTAGTCTGAGTTTATTTCAATAATTGAGTTGTATATCATATCCTTGATCAGAAATTATTAAGGTGTAGTCAATAACTCTCACTTCAAAGCACTTATTTTGCAATTTTGGATACTGGAAGAAAGACAAACCATTTCAACTTAATTTCATGGATTTGTCACTCTAACTATAGTATTTTCATCAGCTGTAAGAGGGCTTCACCATTAAATACTACATTTCAATCACAGCATTATGATAAGAAAACTACATACTCATTAGCCCTGGCTGCTCCAGTCTAGAGGAGGTACCTTTACTATTTTTTCCACTCAGCTCTGTTGATGAAACCAGGTATCCCTTGAATCTCATCGCTTATTTATAAGTCTCCATTATTTGAATTTTTAAAAATACCATTGTACAATGTTAAATTAAGAACTGAAGCAGAAACTAACATCTTGCAGTTTAGGTAGAATAACAGAAAAATCTGTACAATAGATGTATGAAAGTTCTCATTCTAACCATGATGGTATCTACATTTTGGGGTATAAGAAATAAATGCTGACTAAATTCATCATTGAAATATGTCCTCAAATACCACTAATACCTATATGCAGACATAATTTCTAACCTAAGGATTTTCTCTCAAAATGTCTGTTTGATTCCCATGTGTTATGCTGAAAATGAAACCAACATCAATGTACACAAAAAGTCCTGGAAAAAATAGTAAATAATCCTCCTTGGAACACGGCAAAATGCAAGGGCTACATTCCCTTACAACTTTCAATATTACTACTAATCCGAATGCCAGTGATCTGAATAGCACAACTTTTATGGCAAACTCTTCCTGTTTGTGGCTGATTAATCTGTCACTGGCAGGACAGCTGATTTATACAGCAGATCTTCCTGCATTTCATTTTGAAATTGAGAACGGTTTTCACATATAAATCTCAATCATCAAAAGAACATCTAGGTCAGATTAACTAAATCTCCTAGGCTGCTGAAATAGTCAACATTCTGGCTTATCTCTTAACATCTTATTGAATTTTAAACACTGCAAGTTGAAAGCAAAAATACAAAATGTAATGAAAATATAGAGAAGAACAGAATTCTAATTGCGATGTTAAGTATAACATCAAAAACCAGTTAATGTTAATTAAAACAATGAACTAACTCACCTCTAGTTTTTCCTGTTTTTTTCCTACATACAATCTATTTACTAGACGGTAAAGATAAAACAATTATTGTCATAGAAAAACTGGCATGCTTGTTTCCACCTGGATTACTGTGTTTCAAAATGCAACTTTCTGCTGTTGCAGTTTACTACTAGGATCAGGTAGGCAGGCAAAAAAAAGTACTCCAAAACAAAAACTAGTTGTCATTACTTTACTCTAATTTCATTACATTCCTTTGACATAAATTTGCTGGTTTTGTAATGAGCGTCTATGAATATTAAAAAATAGCTATTAAATAATTATTACCTTTAAAGTAAAAAGAAATGAGTTGCTTTTTCTTACTTTATTTCACTCTATCTCAAGAAAGTTCAGTGTAAATTTGAATCATGAAAATGTTCATCTGTTTTGATTTGTCTTGTCACTATTGCTAGAAATAGAAAATGGAAAAACAACAGAAACTTGGCCTGGCATGTTTTCTAGATGGCACAGGAGGAGGAAAAACCATGGGCTCAAGGGCTTCGAGAGTGGACAAACAAAAACAAGAACTCAACTACTGATCCCCACAGCTAAAGGGAGCAAGGGGGAAGAGAGGTTTCATGGCACTTAACACCTCTTTCAGCATTTGTCTCCTTCTCTAAAATCTTTAGAGACAGACCTAACGACCATGTCTAATCACGAAAATATGGCTAAGTCAAATGACCTATCAGAAACTAAACAATCTATTGGGTCACTGGAAAAGTCATGACGTACTTTTCTATGTTTTCCTATAATAAAAATACATCATGACTTTTCCAAGATCCCAATACTTATCCAGGTATTACAGAAGACATTAAAGTAAACTAACTCATGGGAAAAGGGTATGCATTTGCATAAGAATTGATCTATGAGAAAGCCTGGACACAACTTCCTTGGGCAAGAGTAACAAAGATTGGGAGATCATTGGAATCCAAACTTTGGGTCTCAGACCAAAAATCATCCAAACAGCTCCCCCGCCACCCACCCTGGGAAGACAGCAAATTGACTCTGATTGCAGTGTGACGGAAGGGGAAAGAGGAGACAGAAAGTCAAGGAGGAGAAATCTAGAGAATGGCAAATTATTTAGATAATCCAGATACTAAGGGGTCAGAAGATCACAGAGGTAGGGAAGGGTAGCAATATCAAGAGAAAATGGGAAATGAAGCCTGCTTTCAGAGTCCATGACTACTACTAACTTGACAGCAAGGCAGCTCCACAAACTACATTCTGAACTTAAGATTCATGGCCCTAATTCCTTCTTTTATTTTTAAACGAACATATGAAGACGTGTATTGGATTGGCCCTGTAGCCTATGGTTAAGATTCATTGCCCTTCTTTTTTTTTTTTTTAAGGCATAAATGAAGAGTTGGCCCTGTAGCCTATGGCTGGTTAGGGGAATGGTTCCCACATAGCTGTCTGCACACTTCAAATCCTGACCCAGCGGACTGCAAAATCTGCCAGGTGAGTGTGTATGTGTGCCCCAAATCCCAACAGGATGGAGAAATGGAGAGGGAATTGTGGCAAGACCATTCCTCGTGAGGGGTGCTTTCTCCCTCTCTCTCTGGCAAGCACATGCATCTTCTGGCATAATTTTTAAAAAGAAGATGTACATCAACATCATTTGAGAAGTATAAGAGTTCCCATTATTAAGTATAATGTTTCCCTGACAACCACTGAGTCCAGACACCTTGAGAATACCAAAACTGATAGATAACAGATACTCAGGTCCCTTATAAAATGGTGTAGTATTTACAGATAACCTACAGAATCCTCCCATATACTTTAAATAATCTCTACATGAAGTATAATACCTAATAAAATGTAAGTGCTATATAGTTGATATGTATTATTTATCTTTATTTTATACATTTAATCACTATTATGTATAGTGTGTGTGTGTATTTTTTTAAAGATTTTTGCCATAAGATGCATGTACTCACCAGAGAAACAAACAGACAGGGACACAGAAAGTGAGTAATCACTCCTTGAACTGATGGCCAAGCTGCAATCCCTTCCCTTTGGGCATGCACACACGTGTCCGGTATGTTTTTTAAACTTCTGGAACTACGACTTGAACCATACAGTTAACAATGTAGGATTCAGCACCTTAACCACACCATCTGTTAGCCCACTATACTGTTATTTAATTTCTATTTTTTTCTCCACAAATATTTTTGACCCATGGTCAGATAAATCCACACCTCTGTGGACATGGAAAGTCAACTATATACTGTTTAGCTGGTGGTATAAAAAAAGGTTGGTGGGGACCAGCAGTTAGTGTAATGGCTATGTTGCTGGACTACCGTGTAGTCGACTGAGGTTCAAGTCCCGGACCCGGTGGCTTAAACTCACACCGGGCGCGTATGCATGTGTGCCCAAGATCCCGAGAGGAGAATGGAGGAAAAGGGATTGCAACGTGGCCATCCCCCCTGGGGGGTGATTTCTCGCTTTCTGTCTATCTGTCTTTCTGGTGAGCGTATGAACCCTATAGCAAAAACCTCTCCCCCCCAAAAAAGAGGTTGGTGTAAGATTAAAACAGAATCTTATTTTTAATTTAACAGAATCTAAATTTAAAACAGAATCTTATTTTTCCATTTTAAAATTTTGCTATAGGGTATGTGAGCTCACTGGAAGGAGGGAGGGTGGGAGACGGAGAGAGAAAGGGAGGGAAGGAAAGTGAAAAAGTACCCTCTAGAGGGGAAAGCCATGCCACAATCACTTCTGCTCCATTCTCCTCTTGGAATTTTG